TCCACTGATAAACTTTGATGACTGCTGAGGGAATACATTAGGAGTCCTCACACTCTCACTATTAAACTTGGTGCATTCAAGACTCCCTCCATTCCATGCTCACCTCTAGTCATGAGTGGTGGGCTATGATTGAAATGCTGGGGTTCTTGGCACAGGTGACTGAAATGATGTTCTGAGACGAATCACGGCCAGCTGGCCTTGACAGAGTCCGGATTTCAGATATTCAAACCATCGGTGTACAGAAGCTGTTTCTCCAAGTTGAGAAATCAAAGCAGCAGCGATGGCTTAGATGCGTTTTGGGAATGCTTCGGAAAAGAAAGGCCAAACAGCCACTTGTTCCACCGACAGAAAAAGGTCCCCGTAAGACCAAGAATATCGTAAGGCAATTGTATGGAAACTCTGCTCCATGCTTAGGATGTCGTATGCCAAAGCTCATATGCTAGCAGAAGACTGAAAGCATTGGAGCTAACAGAAGCAACTCAAGAAGATCCACGGACACCTAAACTGACTGACTTACAGATTTAAAATTCCCTCCTTTGCATTTGTAGCTCTAAATCAAACAGAAGAAGGAAAAAATAAAAGATTGTTGAAGTTAAGCGAGAGCGGCTTTCTCGATACTATGATTTGTCATGTGCAAGGAAAGCCAGTTAGCCAGGGACCGAGGACTGATGCTGAGTTCTGGTCTAGTAAAAAACAGTCAACCAATACAGTTGATGAGGATGAAACAGAGATCAGCCTTGAACCATAAGCACCTTGAAGAAAGGTGCTATAAATCTCACCAAATCGTCGAAACGTAGGAGAAAGCGGTGTTCCAACGGTGACAAATTTCCATTGGTCATTATGAAAGCGCTTCGAATAAGTCCACTAGAAATGACGTGTTTTACGAAATGATGAACAATTTAAGCTAGCTTGAAATAGACTCAAATTTGGCCTCTTTAAACTAGAGAAACGTAAGATCAAATCTTCTGCACTTTTATTTTAATGAGCGAGATACATACCCGACATGTGATTCACCTCTCTCCTCACCAAAAAAAGATTTTAATTGATTGGATGTGTGTGGCGTAAATCCAGTTCGCATCTTCTAATGGTGCGGACAAGAAGAAGGAAGGAAAAGAAAAGTTGTACCTGCCAAAATGTTGATCTTCATTATACTTTCGAGGTGGGGCCATTCTTAGCGCCCTCATTTTCATGGAGTTTACCGTGAAGCAGTGATCTCCATTTCCATGTTATCTGCCAAAATTGAATTATTTTAAGGACAGTGTCGAAAGTGGGCGTGTGAAAAGCATACAGAGC